CACCAAACTGTGCAATTAGTTTTTCTTTTTATCTACATTTAATGTTCCATACACGGGCCGTAAATATTTGATGTGATATGTACTGTAGCAACTTTTTAAAAGTTGAGGTGGAACTAAAGGCGTCAGATATCGTTCTGCACTCTGCAGAAGCAGCTCAATTGTTCAAATCGTACCATAAATTTTCGATATCATCTGCTTTACTGTCGACACAGGAGACCTTGTAAACGTGTCACCTACGGTAAAGGGCAAGAAATGACGCACACAGAACAAAAAAGAAAAGAAAAAAAAGCAGCACACAGAACAAAAAAGAAAAATTAAAAGGAAAAGAAAAACAAAAAATATAAAAAGAAAAAGGAAAACAAAAAAAGCAGCACATAGAACAAAAAGAAAAAGGAAAAAAATGAAAAAAATTTCCATTGCCGGGATTTGAACCCGGGTCGCCTGGGTGAAAGCCAGGTATCCTAACCGGACTAGACGACAATGGATTTGATGCATAGAGAACTCCTTGCATGTTTATTAGTATTAACACTGTTGTTGGACAGCTTTTAGCATGTGCTCCAGCTCCGGCCTCTCAAATTTATTCTCTATCCCATCGAATGTTTAACAGTACATGGAGTATTAAATATAGACTAAAAAAATAATTAATTGCACAGTTTGAGACTAATTTGGAAGACGAATCTTTTAAGCCTAATTAGTCCATGATTTGACAATGTGGTGCTACAGTGACACATGTGCTAATGATTGGTTAATTAGGCTTAATAAATTCGTCTAGCGGATTACGGACGGATTCTGTAATTTGTTTTTTATTAGTGTCCGAACACCCAATGCGACACCTCCATGTGACACTCGACGTGACACCCCAAAACTTTACATCCTAGATTTAGAGGGTGTTTGGATCCAATGACTAAAGTTTAGGAGGTGTCACATCGGATATCATATTGATCGCATCGGGTGTTCGGATATTAATAATAAAATTAATTACAGAAGTCGTGACTAATTGGTGAGACGAGTTTATTAAGCCTAATTAATTCATCATTAGCATATGTTTACGGTAGCACCATATTATCAAATCATGAACTAATTAAACTTAATAGATTCGTCTCATAAATTAATCTCAATCTATATAATTAGTTTTATAATTAGTTTATGTTTAATACTTTAAATAGTGTTAAACATATTTACTGGAATCGATGCGACGGGAACGAGAATCAAACAGCCCCTTAGACAAGCCCTCGGTCTCAGCACACCAGACGCCAGCAGCATCCGTCACCTACTCGCCTGCGCAGGGATGATCCTCTCAGTCAAATAATCAAAGAAAAGGTGGCGTAGCATCGTCACCATCTGTCCATCCATTTCAACAACCAACTTTTTTGATTCAAAAAGAGGAAGAAATGCAAGATGGGAGAATAAACTCCATCAACTTTATTTGTGCGTCCTTCAACCCGGCCGAGACTGAAAAAGTGCTCCGTCCGTCCGTAGAGGAAGGCACCCAGTCCCTCTTTCCACAAAAGTAGGGGTCGATACAAGTATATAAAAGAACTAGCGATTAAGACATAGGAGTAGACACTAGTTTATTTTGGGCATAAGGTTAGATGGGATATAACCGTTCATATTTTTTGGGATAAGATACAAATATATTACAATAAATAAACTGCTTGCAAGATGAAACCATTTGAATGTTTGTTAAAAGAAAGAAAAAAACACTTCCATGTCAACAAGCACAAGTAAACAAATTTGGAGGAGCTCACCCGTCAGTTTTTGCTCAACTTAGCTCAACCAGCGTATTAAGGAATATTCTTCCAACATGGTTATCCCTGTCCAACGTGTCCCTAAACCAAACGCGTCAAAAACATGGACCGCCATCTCCTATGCATGTTCATCCAGCGAACCAAACACATTCACTTGGTAGTAGTAAGGGCCCGTTGAATCCACTAGGGCTAGCCTACTAACTATTAGCAGAGGCTGTTTAAGTCTGCTACTACTATGCTGTTGATAAGTGGTTAGTACTTAATTAGCATCTATTAGTAACCTCGAACTTGTTAGTAGAACTACATCCAGCCCGCTTGAACTGCTTATCGGCCATAGTACAGTGTTTTTCTCTCTAAAAAAAAATATCAGCCGCAAAAATCATTAGCCAAACAGGACGCTAGTAGTTAGCAGCTCTAGTTCATATACTAGTAATTCTATTTGAAATAGATTCAAAAAATTCTCTTTGAATTTGGTAGTACCGATTTTAGCTCACACGTTGCCCTGGTCGTGTGACGTGGCCAAAAACCAGACACCACCTCGAAACGGAGCGGTGGCACGGAAAGACGACAAGCGAGTCCCTACAAGTGCTCGCTTTTTCTCATCCTTCGCTTGCTTCGAATCTGAAGAAATTTTGGAGCATCCGGAACCCGTTTCAGCCCCCGGTTTCCCAGTGTTTGGTAGCGGATAACTGTACCGTTTGCTTGGCTGCCCCGACTGAAAATGGCTGATTCGTTATAAGAGAAAAATGTTGTTTGTTGGTTGAAAAAATACGGCTGCTTGTTCATTTCGTCGTAAATGATCGTGGATTATTTACTGTTGATTGGTTTGATGTGAGAAAAAAATACTATTCCAACTTATAATCCACGATTGTATACGAGCCAGCGAACAACCTACTTAAGTGAAGTAAACAGGGCGAACTGCGGTGGGTATCTGCAGCCTGTTCGGGAGACCGTATCGTATCGTGGATTATTTACTGCTGGCTGGTTTGGTATGAGAGAAAAACACTGTTTCTGGCTGGAAATTTACGATCGTTTACGAGCAAGCGAACAGGCTGAAACTGAAACTCTGCATCTTCTCCAAACCCATGTTTTTTTTCTTTTGTATACATTGATGACGATCGAAGGTAAAAAAAAAGGTGTGATGTGATTAGTTATATCGAGGAAGCATTAGAAAGGTTAAAAAAATCTTGTACGAGAATCGCCACGAAATATACTAACTTAACATTTGAGGGGAAAAAAAATAAACGTAGCGTAACGGATGAAATTTGTACTGTAGGTTCCGGCCGCAGTCAAAGGCAATCGCAGCGCCGCATCGGCACGCATACCACGGAAAGCATGGACCCTGACGTGTGGGCCCCGCCGCATCGGCACGGTAAACTAGGGCCCTCGGGTGGAGAAAGCTGCAGTAAAAAATCCGTGAGAATCGGAGTGGACACTCCATGCGATGCGAGGACTGACACTCGAGTCGAGTGGAATCGGAGTCGCAGCGGCATGGACGGACGAGAGCTTGAGCAGGCGAATCCGTGAGGTGAGAGTGACTTTGGCTGAGGACTGGGATAGAGGCATCTCTCTAGCTGCTCTGAGCTCTGAGCCCAATCAAGGGAGCAAAGACGCCGGAAGCGACACGCCCCGGTACTCTGCTGCTTGCTTCTACAGTCCCCTGGCCCCTGGCCCCTGCTGCTGCTGCAGTGCTGCTGCGATGGCGATGCAACACGGCCACCAGTAGCCGCTGCCTGCCCCTGCCCCTGCCCCTGCCGGCTGCCGCAGCACGCAACGGGAAACGGGGGTCTGTGTGCGAGTGCGAAAGGGGGAGGAGGGTAGAAGGAAAAAGGAAACCTCAAAAAAAGATGAGATCTTGAGGGGGGAGGAGGAGCAGGGCGGGAGGCGGCATGATGGCGGCCGCGGCGTGCTAGCGGGCTAAAGGGGGAGCACCACTGATTGCTGATGGGGAAAAGGAGATGCAGGTGGTGGTAGAGATGTGATGGCGTTCATGCCCGCGCCTAGCTTACTGCTTACCTGCCCAGTTGCCCTCGCCTCTGTGCTGTGCTCTCTCTGCTTTCTCTTTACCACTCCTCCTCGCTTGCCCCCGCCAGCTCTCCAAGGAGGGAGGGAGTAAGGAGTGGTGCGGCTGTGATTGCGAGTGAAGCCTCCTCCCCTCTGCCTCTCTCCTTTCCTTGATTGGTTGTTGAGCCGAGCCGGAATGTGATGCGAGAGAGGTAATTCTTGGCCATCATCGTCCGAAAAAAAGAATGCTTCTTGTCCGCCTGTTCTCTTTGCCTTTACCTATGTGCTAGTTATGTGATGTTCGAATTTGCTAACTGTCTACTGATATTGGTGAGCGGAGCCGGAATTTTTTACTTTAGTGTCTTAATTTGGAAGAGAGGGGGTGGGGAATGTAGCCAATTTGATGGAATGATATTGGGCATTTGTGTCCGTTCAAGAGTGAGGTTCAGTTGGTTCATGCTCCCGTGGGTCTACTGATTGTTTTATACTCCTGCTGTTTTCAGTGCCCCTGCTTCGAATTTGCTAGATTGCTAGGGTTTAAATAGAGATCCAAACTAGTCTTGTTTGTTCAAAGGTTGCAGGTTCCAATTGTTGAGCAGTAGGAAATCTAGAGGACCTGAATGCTGCAACTGCAATGCTTTCTTGTTTCTTAATGCATTTTTGTTTCTATGTGGTATAATTTTGTGATGTTCTAGTAGTTCTTGATTTTGATCTGGTGCCTTCATTTGAAAGACAGGGGGTGGGGAATGTGGATTGTAATTTAGAGTAGCTTTTGGTTCGGTTTTGTGCCAATTTGATGGAATATTGGACATTTTTGTCCATTTAATAGTGAGGTTCAGTATGTTGTTGGTTCCAGTTCTTGTGGTTCTACTAGTTGTCCCTTGTTTTATACTGTTTTCAGCGCTCCTGATTCGAATTTGCTAACTTGCTACGGATAGGATAGAGATCCGAACTATTTTTGCTTGGTCAAAGGTTGCAGGCTCCAATTATTGACTGCTAGGAAATCTAGACAACCTGAACGCTGCAATGCTTTCTTGTTCCTTAATTGGCATTCTTGGCTATATATATATATATTCTAAATTCTTAATTCCGTCATTTGTCTGAAATCCGAGCTAAATATTGTGACTCTTGTGCTTCAGGTGTGCACATTAGCACTGTTTACAAATCACAACTAAAACTCTGAAGGCCAAATAATTGTTTCAGTTAGCCATCTCTGAAGGAAGATACAGGCTTGTTCATAAGATAGTCATGGCAGAGTTCAAGATCGGTAGGCTGGATGGCCAGCCACCAAGGATCAGAAATGTGCCCATTGCCGTCACCCCAGAAGGATTCTGGTGCTGCCCATCACAGGCCGCGCTTCAGAAGACAGCAAAGAGCCCAAACCAGCAGGGCAGGCCTAGAGGGGGAGCATCCCCTGCACCATCAAAGGCGTCCTCGGTTCAGAGGGCGCCGACCATTTCTTCAGAGAAGAGAGCACAGTCCACTCCTACTAGGTCTAGAACCAATTCAGATGAGCAAGTATGCCCTCCAGCAGATGCTGTTGCTGCCCCTGATCCACCAAAGGTAGTACCTGCACCGGCACCCGAGAAACGACCAAAGCAGCATAAGATCTCGGTCGGATTTGGGCAGCTTGGCACGAGTGATCTGAAGGTTGTGCTGCATGGCAAGGAAGGGGTAGCTGTGAAGATGATTGTTCACAAGAACATCCTTGCTGAAAATAGTACCTTTTTTGCCAATAGAATCTCGAGGCAGTCTCCGGTGGCATGCATTGAGGTGCCAAATTGTGAGGATGTGGAGATTTATGTCGAGACTGTTGGGTTGATGTACTGCAAGGATGTCAAGCAGAGACTTATCAAGCAAAACGTTCCACGAGTTCTGCGAATCTTGAAGGTTTCTCCTACCACAGTTTCGTAATTTGCCAATTTTGTGTTTGATTTTTTTTTATTTTTTGCCAATGTCTTCATATGCTATATAAATTTGTCCGTATGCATATTCTGATCTATATTATTCACAAATGTTGAACAGTTGAAGCATCCATGAACTGTGGTGGTTCAAAACAATTACTAAGCTTAAACTGATGTATCGCCAACTCCTCATCTAAGATCTAACTAGGGATGTTTAAACTGCAGCTTAATTTGTATGGAGGATTTCATTTTATTTTATTTTTTTAAACAACACCATAGCCCTTACACTGGAAAAAAACTATTGGCATTTTTATAAGAAAAATTATCATTGCTTTCTTTTGCTTAAAACATGTTTACCACTAGTGAATGCTTCTTTGGTATATTGGACACTACTATGATGGTTTGGTTTGCCACTTGGTCATATCGTCATACAACATCTTATTTTTAATCCTAGTACATTGATCATTTTATTGATATTATCTAGGTGCATCAGCTAAAAGCTGTCTATTCCACAAAATTGTGTTTGTTTAAAAATTTCAAACTTCATGGCTTTTAGTGATTTGAAACCACAAATTTAATGCCCTGTATGCTAATTGAAACTTTACTAATTCACACATTGTTTAGTGGAACTATAATCTTCCAAAATTGTGATTCTCATTAGATCCAGCTGAATATGTTTCTGTCTTTTTATGTCTATTTCATGCTATCGCATTTTAGGACCACTGCTCATATTTGTTCATATTCTTATGATACATCACCTGCAATAGAATGTGACAAACAATGCATAATCTACGACGTATCATAAATCATCTTGAAATTCTGTCAATGGATAGTTGGTCAGTCACAATTTAGGTAAGCTGATCAGTCTCAATTTAGGTAGGGCTCCAGGCATTTTCTATATTGAATAAATAGTTGTGAAACAAGTTCTCTGAATCTGTTCTGAAACATGATTGTCTGAAAATGGCTATTTTTTATAAAAAAAATTGTGAATGATTTCAGAACGATCAACAGGATTTTGTAAAGCAAATTTGACTTCTTAATGTGCGTATCCCTTTCCTTTTTAGTGTATGCATTTTTACATTTTGTTCTGTCTGTGAGTCGTATTTTTACATTTTGTTCTATCTGTAGGTCGCAGAATCACAATTTAGGTAGGCTGATCATCAGTCTGAATTTAGGCAGGGTTCCATGCTTTTTCTATGTTGAATTAATAGCTGCGAGCAAGTTCTCTGAATCTGATCTAGAGCATGATTGCCTGAAAATGGATAGTTGATCTGTCTCAAATTAGGACCACTGCTCATATTTATTCGTAATCTTATCATCTTAAGATACACTCACCTGCAACGGACCGTGACAAACAACGCATACTCTACGACTTATCAGAAATCATCTTGAGATTCTGTCAATGGATAGTTGATCAGTCACAAATTAGGTAGGCTGATCAATCTCAATTTAGGCAGGGCTCCATGTATTTTCTATATTGAATTAATATCTGTGAAACAAGTTCTCTGAATCTGATCTAGAGCATGACTGTCTGAAAATGGCTGTTTAAGGTTTTTTTTCCGAATTATTTAGGAACAATCAACTGGATTTTCTAAAGCAAATTTGACTTCTTAACATTCATATCATTTTCTTTTTTAGCGTATGCATTTTAACATTTTGTTCTGCCTGTAGGTCGCAGAATCACTAGGCTTCCGTGCATGCATCATGTCATGCTTAGATTACCTGGAAGCAGTTCCTTGGGTTGGCGATGAGGAAGAAAACGTTGTGTCGTCCATCCGACAGCTGCACGACGAGGATCACAGAGCTAACCCCTTGCTAAGGAGAGTGACATCTGACGTCCTAACAAATCCGCCGAACGACACTCTTGCGCATATCATTGAGCTGGTGCTGAAGAGCAGCGAGGATAGAGGCCGCCGTGAGATGAAATCTCTGGTCCTGAAACTTTTCAAGGAGAACAGCAACATCTGCACCAATGGTTCTTCAGCAGACGACTCCTGCATCATGACCTTGTACAGCTGTTTCCAGAACTGCCTGGATTCCCTGCTGGCACTGTCTCGCCAAGCTTCCGATCCAGAAGAGCTCGCGGGTGAAGAATCTTCAGGCAGCAAAGACCAGACGTTCAGAAAGATTGCTCTGGAGGCTGATAACCTCCTCTGGCTAGCCGAGATCCTATCAGACAGGAACGCAGCCGATGAACTGACGGTCATCTGGGCCAGCCAGGCGGAGCTGGCCGAGCTGCACCCGAAGATACCGGTGATGCACCGCCACCTGGTGAGCTGCGTGACGGCGAGGCTGCTGGTGGCGATCGGGAAAGGCGAGGCGCTGCCGTCAAAGGAGACGCGACGGCGGCTGCTCGACGTGTGGCTGCAGCCGCTGATGGACGACTACAGGTGGCTGCAGCACGGGTGCCGGTGGTTCGACCACGCTGTGGTGGAGGACGGCATCGGGCAGGCCATCCTGACGCTGCCTCTGGAGGACCAGCAGGCCGTGCTGCTTGCGTGGCTCGGTCGGTTCCTCAAGGCCGGAGATGGGTGCCCCAACCTGCAGAGGGCGTTCGAGGTCTGGTGGAGGCGGACCTTCGTCAGGCCGTACGCCGAGCAGCAGCCCGGGAGCTCGTCGTCGCGATCGGGGCGCCACTGATGATCGTCCAGCGATTGCTTAGAATAACAGTCCATGCATGATGGTGGTTGCAGCTTGCAGCTCACAATGCTGCAACAATTTCTTGCAAGCTTCAGTAGTAGGAGACTTCAGTTTCAGTTAGGAGATGCTGGGGAAGAGAGAGTAGCAGTGTGTAGGTTCACTAGTGGCAATTGGTAACTGAGGTTAGTTTTGTTGTTGGCTGTACTTCTGTTGTAATGCTTTGGGATGTAAGAACGTTTCTGATTTCTTGGTACAGAAATCAATCTCCTGTGATTTTACTGCTGGGCTAGTGGGTTTGTGAGTGATGTTGTGAACTCAGTTGTAAAAACTCCCCAACAGATCACAGATTCACAGATGCAACTTGTGCGCCATGGCTAGTTAAGGTTTTTGCCGAGGTACAACTCCTACATATACGAACTAGTCAGCTCCCCGCGCGTTGCCGCGGGCGAGTGGTTGTAGTCATGATTTAATAATACGAATCATTCCAGGAGAGCGGATTCAAATGTGTTTATGTGGACTGAGAGTGGAGGGTGTGAGACGCGAAAGGACCATAAGGATGATAAAAAAAAAGTAAGAAGGTTTAGTTAGTTTGGAGTAACCGTAGGTAGTAGTTGTGATCATACAATTTTTTTATATATGATAAGAACTGAGTTGTAGTTGTCGTAGCTAGGTTGATGCTGATATCTGGGATCAGGCAGTGGACAAACATGATATGCAGTTGACACCTTCCTATAATCAAAACTGTTTAACTGCAAAAGGTTGCTAGGACCCTCATTCTTTTTAATATAATCGACGGCTTAACTGCATGAGATGGTTTGCTTTAGAAAATTGAGAATCCACCATTATATGAACATTGCTGGTAGCTTCAATGGTTGAGATCAAGACCTCATTTGGTAAAGCTTCTCCACCGGCAGCTTTACTACCTCTCCAACCAAACGTTCAAACCTGAAACAAGTTCAGCAAAGAAGCTCCACACGGGAGCCATATGCAAGAGGAGCAGCTAAAAAACGGAGCTTGGTCCCCCACCCCTCCTCTCTCTCTCTCTCATGTCGGCCTAGTGCGCGTTCGTGGCCCAATTTACCCGAGTGTGTAGGAATGGGCAAGGCCAACATAGGGAGGGGCAGAGGCCGGGATGGATAAGGTGGAGAGGGAGAAGAGAAATAATGGATGAAAAAAAGAAAGGAAAGGAAAGAATAAAATGGTATTATAGGCATTTTATCATTTTCAACAGCCATGAGAAACTGTTTTACCAAATATTTTTCTAATCAGAGGCCAGATCCAAGCCACATCTGTAGTTATTTGGGCTGGAGCTGGAGCTCTACCAAATGGACCTAATATATGGACACAAGTTTCTTGCACTAAATAGTTGAATCAAACATACCAGAGGGTCCACTGTTGCTCTTGGTGAAAATCAGCATTCACTTCTAAGCTCCTAAACAATTCCAAACAATAAGTTCATAACCACTCTCTGATATATACACATATTTGCATTGTATTAACACATGCACATTTTGTGCCAAATTATACACCAGCAAACGAAAAATGCCCCATATCTATTATTATAGTGTGTCTCATCTTTTGGTGAAAAGATGATTGCAAAACCCGGCCTTTTCTCCTCGCACTGCTTCGCCTTTTTTTTGGCAAAATCTTTTTTCACCCTGCACGGCCCGTGTGTGCTAAGCTGAAGCCCCTTTTGTTTGGCGCCCTTTAGTTAGCATGGTGATCCCCGGCCCTTTTGTTTGGCTTTGTTTCATGGCCTTTTTCGTTTCGAGTTTTTTCACCCTTCGAGTTCTTTGATGTGTCTCTGTATGTGTGTGTGTGCACACACCCAAAAAGAACGAAAGGTCCAGGGCGCACGTATCATTGACCTTTTTGTGCTTTTACTTGCATGCATGCATAATGAGGCGCGCACGAGTCCCGGCGAAATATGTTCTGTTTTACCTCCTTTGTTTTAGACCTAGCTAGTTGTTGTGTTTGTAATAATCCAGCTAGATGCATGCTTTCAAGGTTTCTCCCTCTTCTTTGTACTCCCTGCGCCCTATAATGTATCCTAAATATTTTAAGATAAGAGGGAACACAAAAGATGTATGTACTCTCACTTAATTTACTAATCGATCAATATAATTCTCGCATGTATATTTAATGTCATGCGCGTGATTGAAGGGGTTTGCATGATGGAGTAAATGGCAAGTAACAATAAATTACCTACAAAATTTGTGCGCTTATAACTTATTTAATGCAGTCTCATCCTTCTGTTCTATACATCCCTTGTATTTGGGAACAAATTTTTTATGCTTCTATACATCGTTATATTATAGGATAGAGAGAGTATGGTTTATTGTTCAAGGTCAACCTAGATAAAGTAATTTTAAGAGAATATTACGGTATTGCAATCCGCACTTTTGCGAGGCAAAGGTAGAGCCAAGACCTAAGGGAAAAAAAGACCTAAGAGTTAATTATTAGGAAACTTTTAACGAATTAGGTATGAACAGGCAGGGGTGGAGACAGGGGGCGGGCAGGGGCCTAGCCCCCCCCCCCCCCCTCCTTAAAAGTGAAATTTCCACTGTTTTTTAAATCCAAATAAAATTTAAAAAATTAACACCGTTGCTCCCTAGCATTCAAAAAATTAACTTCCTACCTATCGGCTGAGACATAAATATTGGAGGGCACCGATAAAAACGAAAATCACAAAAAACTGTGAAAATCGGCCGAAATTTCATTCAAAAATTTCAAATCTTGATGAAATTGTAGCTAAAATCTGAAAAAACCTCAAGGAAATGGAACCAAAATTACTGGTATACTCCGTGTATATTTACTGGTGGTCGCCGGTTTCCAATGAAAACTGGCCGAAATTTTGAACCTAGGGTAGGAAAACTACTAATTATATGATTATATTAAAAAGTAGAAGAAATCTAAAGTGGACGGAAATATTATAAGTTCAATTTTTTTTCATTAGTGGGAATGTGGGATACATTATTTCCTCTTGTTATTGCACCCATACGCAATAACTGCCACTGCAAAGTGGACAAAAGGTATCTCCTTTTCACTTGTGGACCGAAGATTTAAAAATAACTTTGTTCAAAAAAGAGATCCAAAAGAAGTACTCCGAGCTAGAGGTTACAACTGCTACCAACTTGCTTCGGTAGAAGACATTGGATTCTCTGGTCCTTTGACCTTGCAATAAACAAGAATAAAACGGCTTAAGAACCTAGGAGGAGACCTTGGAGAGACTAAACATTGCACACTTGGACTTGGCACATTTTTAGATAGGATTATGAACGAGTTAAGTATACCATTTCGGTTCTTGGACATTAAATGTTACTGCGTCGTCACAGTTGGTCTTCCACTCCTGTTCAGAATAATACCTGAAACTTTAGGGTTAGATGCATGTCAGGTTAAGTGTGTTCTTATGTTGGTCACTGAAATCAAGTTAGTATTTTACGTCAGTCGATCTCCTGATGAAAAGAAAAATAAGGATTATTGCAGATCATCTGACCAAGAGCTTTAACAATTATCCGATTCGTAGTAAATCTCTTCCTGTTCAGACATGAGCTCAGAGGCTGAGAAGATCCATGTGAGATTTGCAGTGTTGGAGATTTTATAAATCGCCCAGATTCCAAGCCTCGTCAGACTGCGAGCATGTCCGGCTGTCTTGCTGTCTGTCAATCTTGTTATCTTGCTGTGGCTGTTGATGTTGGCCAGATTAAATATAAATTTTCGCGTCATCTTATGATCATTAGAGCAATTAGAGGACACTGCGCTGCTGAAGATAGACATAACCGGCAACGTGAATCCTAACTGGACTTTTTGGGCTCATTCTGTCGATCCGGCCCTACCTGGTTTATTTTAGTATTTAATTTCTTGCATTATTTTCAAACTGGAAAATACTAGTGAGTGTGCCAGCCATGTAGTTTCTCTTGGAAAAATAAGAGATGAGAGAATAAAATCATCAATAAGGGCTCTGATGAGAAAATTCAGATCATGTGAATTCTAATCTGTGACTCATGGATTAATAGATGACTGTAGCTACTTTGTGATGAACATGAATAGATTACAACTGATGGATTGAGGTGATTAGTTAAGACCCATGCATATCTTTGACTTGTGGGTTAAACTTAAACCAAATTCTATTCAGGCCAGGCTTAAGCCAAGCAACAATTAGGGCATGTACAACCCACAGACAGGGTGCTGTCTGTATGATGATGTCACATGACAAATAGACGGCTAAATAGATAGCTTGTACAGTGGGTTGTCTGTTTGGCTGTCTATTGTTTATCTAATGCTTGTATGTAGTTAAGATCGAGTGTGAATATTATTGGTGTAAACCATTGTGATGCTTATCGATACAAAATAGATCAAACGAAAAATAATAAGATGATCATGGTTATAACATTTTTTTGGAAGCATCAATATATACAGTATATTTATATATTATAATATAATATGATGGATTCTTTTTGAACCTATTTAAGGTCTTCGTATATTATTTTTTTTATACAAATGAGATGTTCAGTGACAGAGTTGCATTCATTCATAAACAATACAGTGCATATACAACATGCCTCGCACACTCGATCCAGCCACGGAGTCGCTCGCTACCATCGGCTGGTACAGCGGTAGATGAAGCCGTCGATTTGCCCGGGAGCACGAGACGGGGCCGTCGTCTCGTGAGACGACGGACACGCTCTCTCTCCACATTAAATACGTCATATGGAGGGTGTATCTGCAAAAACAGCGTTATACAGACGGCCTTCCGCAGCGCGTTGTACGTGCCCTTAGAGGCTAGCACTTTTTGTTGCCTTCTTCTGTGTTGCTTCCTCACTTTTTTCCCATGCCCATGCATGCCTCAAATGCCAAGTGCCCCACAGCTTATGGACCAAATAAATGGGGACATGCAGAGGCAACATCCCACAACAAGGATTATTCCTGTGACAAGCAGCAAGCTAACTTAGTGCAGAGGACAAGTGATACTTGATTGCATTAGGGCTTCCTTTTGAGAA